GCTATCTTCTCAACTCGCTCAGCTGGGACAACACTAGTGGTGCTGTCATGGCAAAAACTCACACTCATTTTCTCCAAAGCGAAAATCCATTTTTGATTTTTATCAAATATTTCTATTTTGCGCTTCGACCCCCATGTGTGGCAGTTTTGGCATGGCCTCAGTAGTTGTGCGTTTTATGGGGGTACAAAGGCATTTTTCACGTGGCATGGTGTCATAGTATAAACTCACTGTGAAGGAACATTTTTACTGCTTTATCATGGGGTACATGAGCACAACCGAATTGATACGAAGCATTTCGTCCATTGCGTGACTTTCTCGGAAGAACAGGAAGTCTATGATTCTTAGAAAAGCAGGAAGTCTATGATGTAATACCACAGGGACTTTCCCAATGAGTCATTAATTTGCTATTGTTTTCAGGTTATGAGACAGTCGTATGATCTCTCTCAACCAATCAGCAAACTAGTCAGTTAGCTTATAGTGGTTTAGCATTTCAAACTCTTTCACATTTTCACCTCAGAGTTTTGAGTCTTGGTATTCGCTGTTGTGGTTCTTTTTGAAAGTGTATAGGATAAAAGATGGAGGCTAATATTCCTAAAGGCCCAACACTACTTGCAATCTCAAGACATAGAGATGCTGTATATGCAGTGCAGGATATAATTGAATGGGTGAAGAAGTCTAGTGGAAGGGAAGACGACAACGATCCTCAAAGTTATAAAGAAATAAGACTTATGCAAGACGTTTGGAAATCACAATCATGTGGAGATGGAGTGTTGTTCGGAAGAGATGCCGCTAAGGAATTAGTATGGTCTGAGTTCTTCCTCAAAAAACGATGACTGGGTACTAAAACACGATATTAGACAAGCAGGGACAACTGCGAACGTTTTATAAGCTGTTTTCTCCGTATAAGAAAGTATTGAGATGTAAGTTATCGTTTATATGGTTCGTAAAGAATGGTAAAACAATTGTTGATTATCTTAAAAGTCATAGAGAGGTAGCACTACCGTGGACCCATGAACTGGACTGTGCTTGCGGCACATGTGATTTCGCCACAGCTGTGGCGTGATGTAACGACTTTTGATTTTGTTACTAACTGCAAGGTAATGTCTCGATACAGTCTTCGCTGGTTTGAATAATGTTAGCGACAAAACGCCACAGCTGTGGCGTGACGTCACATAAATATAATCTCTACTAATAGTATAGAATGGTGTAATGTTAAGGCAGAGATCAGAAAGATAACTTTTTATTCCAGCTAACGAGTACAAGCACACGTGTATATTCTGTCTCGT